CCAAAGGACGGGTGCTACTATGAGCGAACAAAAATCTAATAATCTAAAAATCTAATAATTGTAAATCTAAAAATCTAAAATTTTAATATTCCAAAAACTCTTTTATTTTTGCTATTAAGTGTATATAAAATCTTAAAATAAAGACTAATATTTTGTATGCTTGTTGTAAACTATTTTTTATTAGTCTTCTCATAAATTTTTAAGTAATTTTTCAAAATCTAGTAATGTCTGAAAATTTATAATATCAATATCTGTTATCATATCTATGTTTGTTCTAAAAGGTATATCATATTTTGAGATATTTTTCTTTCTTTTTTCCAATTTATCTATTATATCTTGTATATCTTTTATGATTATTGATCTTATAATTCCTTTAGCAAAATTTTCTAATAAGTTTTCTTTGAAACATTTTAATATTTCTTGTGATGCATATAATTGTTCTTGATATCCTATCTTATCAATTTCTTTTTCAAATTTAATTTCTTTTTTTTAACTACCTTTTTTATATTATATGGTCCTCTCTTATATTTGGATTTTTCTATTTTATAATTATTCATTAATAATTCTCACAAATTTTTAGAAAAATTACTTGTTAGATTTTTTAAGGACTTGGATAGAAGATTTCTATTATGTAAAGGGTTGTTTTTAATATTTGTTTAAGGGTATTTTAGCTAGTTCAAGATGTTTAGAAAAGTTAAAGGTTATTTTGGAAAATGGCTAACATATTTGGGTTATTTTCATGCATTTCCCACCGTACTGCCACACGAATATCTCTTGGGAGGATTAGGGGAGCCCTACAAAATTGTATAAAGGCTATTGAATTACACCGTCGCTTTCTCAAGGTTTCCATAAGAGCTGGAACTGGAAAGTAAAAACTTTTTCAGTTTTAGTTCTTACTATCATGTGTTTCTTTGACTAACAATGCTAAAGTGGGTAAAGGAAACATGAAAAGAATTGTGTTCATCTTACTCTACTATATTGTCATGTAAATTTCTTGTAACGCCCCATTTTTTTCATTTTTTTAGAAGGGACCGTTACCAAGTTTCTTATTTTTGAAGAAATAGAATATACTTTTGGAACTTTAAAGAAAATTTGATAAATCGACTCTAGGAATTTAAAAGAGTAACCAACTAACATTTAAATTTAATTAAAATCATTCAACATCAATCTAAATGAAATACACCAACATGAATGTCAAAGCTGCAAAATAAATGTGCAGATACTAAACATGAACATGTCAAATAAAAGTCTAGTCATGAATATACTAAAAATATTTTTTTTGTTTACTTGGCAACCCAGAAGCATCTACTTGTCCAATCTTCCACGCGTCCAGCACGACCCATTCTAATCTAATTTTTTTTTTGTAAGAGTGAGTATTTTAAACAAAATGCTCAGTAAGATACGTGCACATTTCTATTCAATATAACATAAATATAAATGAAAAACATTCATACCCGACATTCATATGGTTCAAAGAATTTCTTTAGAATTTCCACATCCCGTAGGATTTAACATAATTGGACCTAACGGTCTGTCCCGAAGGATTTAACATAAAAAAAATCATTTCTTGAAATCTTAAGGCATCGAATGAAATCATAATATAGATATCATGGTGAATAAAAATATTAACCACTGCACTTACGTATCTTACCTTAAAAATCTGAATTCGTTAAAAACTTTGAAAATGGATTCTTCTGTTTCCCTTGACTTGAAGAATAGCAATGTATATGGAGTTTATAACTTTGTATGTATGAAATAACCGTTTTTGTAAGTTAAATAAATGTGCTTGGTGGGTGGGTAAAAGAAAATGACCAAGTATTTGAAAAAAAAAATCACCACATGATCTCATAACTTATACACACGTATACCACTAATAGAAATCAAAGCAAATAAAATGATAAGATTGGTTATAACTTTACCACGTGAAATCTCACAAACGCTAACCAATCAACGCAAAGGAACATACTAATTAATATTATAATAAATGGTTACATAAATTTCGTTTCAACCACAATAACTTGATAAAATGCATTCAAAATAAATTTCTCTTAAACCCGATTTACGTAATTTAACACGATCTACAAGATGATACCCATATTCATATATTTTTGTTAATATCTACTATACCCAATTATTGGGCACATAATATTTAGAAAAAAGTAAGAAAAATGCATAATTAGAAAATAATTAATTTTTTTAAAAAATATACATATATATTGTATTATCATTTTAATTAATGAACTTTAGTATAATGACAATGTTAGGCATGAACCAATTAATTTGCTAATGATCAAAGTTGCATTAACAAAATTTAAGACATACATAGGAGGTAAATAAAATTTGGAATGTTACATCTCTTCTCCCTTAAAATAATTTCGTCCTCGAAATTACCTTATCTAGACGAAAAGCTCTGGATACTTGGCTTTTATCTCTTCTTCTTTCTCTTAAGTAGCTTCTTCGACTCTATGATTTCTCCATCGAATTTTAACTAAGGCAACTTCCTTGTTCCTCAAAGCATGCACTTTCATCTCAATAATTTCCACAGGAGCCTCTTCATAAGTCAAGTCTTTCTGCACTTCTAGTGAGTCATAGCTTATCACATGCTTAGGATCATGCACATACTTTCTAAACATTGACACGTGGAACACGTTATGTACTGTCGATAATCTAGATGTCAATGCTAAACGGTACATCACATTTCCAATTCTTTCTAGAATTTCAAAAGGAAATTTCTTTCCGACTTCAAACTCAACCTTTTTTCTGGTTTGCATAGTTTTTTTGTCTATCTTGAGCTGACTTTATTCTGTCTCTAATTTTATCAACTGCTTGCACTGTTTTTGCAATAATTTCTGGATCCAAAATTCTATTTTCTCCGACTTTATCCCAATAAACTGGTGATCTACATCTTCTACCATAGAGAGCTTCATAAGGAGCAATACCAATAATAGCCTGAAAGCTATTATTGTATGCAAACTCTACTAATGGTAGAAATGACTCCCAACTACCTCCAAAATTCAAGACACATACTCGAAGCATATCTTCTAGAGTCTGAATAGTCCTTTCTGATTGTCTATCTGATTGGGGATGATGGGCAGTACTGAAATTTAACTTTGCTCCCATAGCTCCTTGCAAGCTCTTCCAAAATTTGGAAGTGAATCTTGGATCTCGGTTTGAGACGACAAAAGTCGGAACTCCATGCAGCCTGATAATTTCTTTGACATATAAGTGGGCAAACTGATCCATATTGTAATTCATTCGTACTAGAAGGAAGTGAGCTGATTTTGTCAATATATGCACAATTACCCAACTAGCATCATATCCCCGATTTTTCTTTGGAAAACCTCCACAAAATCCATAGCTATCTTCTTCCATTTCCACTCTAAAATTTCTAATGGGTTTAATGGCCCTGATAGTCTCTCATGTTTGGCCTTAACTTGCTGGCATATCATAGATTTCTCAACAAATAGATCAATTTTTCTTTTCATGTTCCTCCACCAAAATGTATCGCGAAGGTCTCGATACATCTTTGTACCGTCGGGATGCCCAGCGTACGGGACAGAGTGAGCTTCTTCTAATATCTCTTTCCTTATTCCTTCATCCTTCGGTACACATAGTCTTCCTCAAACGTCAAAGCATTATCATCTGCTATAGCAAAACCCTTTTGTTTACTTGTACCAACTTCTGCCTTAATCTTTCTCAAGAATGTGTCATTGTCTTAGGCATCTTTGATGCGATCCCTAAGTATAGGTTGGATCTTCAATAACGCAATCTTTGCAGTAACCTTAGTCGGCGGGATGACCACTTCCAATCTCAATTTCTCAAATTCCTTTAACAACTATCCTTCAGTTGTGGGTAAAGCTGCCAATTGTCCTACTGTCTTTGTACTAAGGGCATCAGCGATTATATTTGCTTTACCCAGATGGTAATGAATAATGCAGTTAAAGTCCTTAACCAATTCCAACCACCTTCTCTACCTCATATTTAACTCCTTCTGTGTGAAGAAATATTTCAAGCTTTTGTGATCCGTATAGATGTCTCATTTCCCTCCATAGAGATAGTGACCCCATATCTTTAGAGCATGCACCACTGCCACCAATTCTAAATCGTGCTGGGTAGTTTTGCTTAGGTTGTTTTAACTATCTTGAAGCATAAGCGATCACCTTTCCATTCTGCATCAACACACACCCTTAACCCAGTTTAGATGCATCACTATATATAACAAATCCATCCGAGCCCTCTGGTATAGCCAATACTGGAGTTATGACCAATTTCTGTTTTAGTTCTTGAAAACTCTTATCGTACTTCTCAGCCCACTGAAATTTTACCCATTTTTTAATTAGTTAGGTCATTGGCCCAGCTATTTTAGAGAAACCTTCAATGAATCTTTGATAATAAATAGCCAATCCCAAAAAGTTACGGACTTCACCTATATTCGACGATTTAGGCCACTTGGTTACCGCCTCAACTTTAGTAGGGTCTACTTCAATTCCTTGTGCTGTAACCACATGACCCATAAAGCCTATAAGGTCCAACCAATATTCACACTTTTTGAATTTGGTATACAATTTCTCCTTCCTTAGTGTTTTTAGTACTATTTTAAGTTGTTCTTCATGTTGCTCCTTGTTCCTCGAATACACCAAAATATCATCAATGAAAACAATGAGGAATTTATCTAGATATTGATGTAATACCCGATTCATCAAGTCCATGAACACTGCAGGAGCATTCGTTAATCCAAAAGGCATTACAGTGAACTCGTAATGACCATAGCGAGTTCTAAATGCCGTCTTCGAAATATCGTTTGCCTTTACTTTCAGCTGGTGATAACCTGACCTTAAGTCAATCTTGGAAAATACTGTTGTACCCTTTAGTTGATCAAAGAGGTCTTTAATCCGTGGCAGGGGATATTTATTTTTAGTAGTTAACCGGTTTAGCTCACAGTAGTCAATGCACATTCTCACTGAACCATCTTTCTTCTTTACGAATAAAATCGGTGCACCTCAAGGAGATACACTTCGTCGGATGAAGCTTTTATCCAACAATTTTTGTAGCTGTATTTTCAATTCTTGTAGCTCCTTTTGTGCCATTCTATAAGGAGCTTTAGATACTGGCGCTGCTCCAGACACGAGATCAATTGTAAACTCAACTTGTCTATCTGGTGGAGTGCCAAGTAGATCATCAAGGAATACATTAATAAAATCTTGTACAATTGGTACCGCACTGAGAGAAACCTCCGATTGTTGTGCTCCAGATATATTTACCAAAAATCCATGTCAAGATTTCTTCTTCAACATCTTCTCTGCCTTCATGGTGGACACGATGCGAGGTAAAAACTTTACTTGTGCCGCGAAGAATCAAAACTCTTCCTCATTGGGTGTTTTACTTCACTTTCAAAACATCGGATGGTTGCATGATTGCTCCGTGACCAATCCATTCCCAGAATAACATCAAAGTCTTTCATATCTAAGATGCATAGGTCAACTTTTAATTACCTTCCATCCATTCCTAACTTTATCGCCCTAGCTATCCTATTGGTGTTCAATGTTCTACCTGATGGGATGGTAACTACTAAAACACTATCCAATTTTTCATATGGAATACATGATTTAGCAATAAATGCAGCAGAGACAAATGAATGAGTAGATCCCGAGTCAATAAGAACTATACAGGTAGTTCAGATACCGATAGAATACCTGTCATTACATTCGGATCCTTTGTTGCCTCTTCCTGGGTCAAAGCAAAGACCCTAGCTTTTCCTTTCTTAGTCTGCTCGTAGTCTTTCTTAGGTGGATATGCCTTGCAATCTGGAGCAAAATGCCTTTCTTGGCCACATCGATAGCACACATTCTTTTTAAACCAACATTCTCCCCTGTGGCCCTTGTTGCATTTAGGACATGGATGAATAACCTTATTTGGTTTGCTTGATCCTAATTCTGTGTTGGCTTTCTTGTTTTGTCCCAATCCTTTCCTTATGCTCGACCCATTCCACTTTCGTTTTCCAAAAGATTCATCACTTTTCTCGATCATCCTATCCATTTCCAATCGATCAGAAATTGACTGAGCTCGTTGTAGTACTTCACGGTAGGTTGTGGTATGGTGAGATGTCATGATTCCTCCAACCTCTGGACGTAATCCTAGATAAAACCTCCTGGCCTTCTTTGCTTCAGTGTCCACGAGGTGTAGGGCGTACCTAAAAAGCTGTTCAAACTTTCTTTCATAATCTTCAAGCGGCATTTTTCCCTGCTTCAATTGTAGAAATTCTGCCTCTCTTCGATCCTTTAGGGACTGGGAAAAGTATTTTTTCATTACTTCCTCTTTGAACTGTACCCAAGTCATGGCATGTTGTTCTGCTTCTGTTTTAGTGCGTAAAGCAAACTTCCACCAGTGGCCTGCTGCATCAATCAGCATAAATTCAGTGCATGATATCTTTTGTGTATCAATACATTCCATGTGTTTGAAAATCCACTCTAATCCTCTTAGCCACTTCTCGGCTACCAAAGGATCAGCTTTTCCATCAAAAGAAGGAGGTTTGAAGCGACGAAATTGCTCTACAATTGCACCCGTATTGTTGGCACTAGCTGGTGCATGTCGTCTACCAAGTTCATGCACTGTCCTCATAAGATCCCTTAATATAGCTACTTGGTCTTGTTGTTATGCCATTTCCTTTAAATCAACAAAATTTAAAATTTTGTTTTAGAAACCTTGGACAACACAGCTTATTATATTCAAAGGGAAAATTAAATCTCATGAATATGAATCCTTGAAACTAGGATGTACTATTGATTAAAATAAATCTCAAATAACATAAAGCATTTCCTTTCTGAATGGGAAGGAAAACATCATAGAATAAGGAAGTAGAATCTAAGTTTCTAATTTCCATGGATCCTACGAATCTTCTTTGGTGGAACATCGTCTTCTAAGGAGTCCTTTGCCTCGGGGCCGGACTCTATTTCTATTTCGACTTGTGGCTCAGGTTGTGGCTCGAGATTATCCTCTAACTCCAACCCCAAGTTATCTTCATGCTCCGATTCAGGCTCTTCCTCAGGGTTCGATTCATACTCGAGCCCGAGCTCTGGCTCGGCCTCATCTTCTACCTCGTCTGTAACTCATCTTCTGGCTCTTGTTGTGGTAGTAGGCTCTCATTCTACTAATCCAAAAGGGACTGACAATAAGTGCCAAACTCAATCATGTCAGAGTGTTCTAGAGGGTTACCTCCGCGCATCTCATCTCTAACCACAATTCTCACGTCTCTCCATTGAGGTGGAAGCGAGTTTATAAGATTATGAAAGACCTCGATATGCGTGATCTCTAGTCCTACATCAACTGCCGCCATACATCTCTCATAGATGTCTTGAACGTGTTCGACAAGCGAACGAGTCGAGTTCGTTACATAATTCTCATAAGACTGAATGATGGACCTTTGGTTCAGTGTTGCTTTACAAGCTGTTGTTTTTCTAGCTGTTCTATAAGTCCTAGCCATATCAGTCACATAATTGTCAAATTATGTTTGGTTTCTTTTGTTATCAATATCACATTATATATTATGCTCTCATTTTTTTTTCAAGGATTAATCATCATATCTCATTAAATATATAACAACATAATTAATTTCAAACATCATAATCATTTCAGGAAATCAAGCTTAAATGATTTATAAATCATGCTCGAAAAAATAAAATGGAACATAATATATTTATTCCGTACCTTGGATTCACTGAACAGTAGTTGATTGGCGGGTGTTAAGTGCCATGGGTCTTATTTTAATAGTTATTCAAGATTTAGATAAAATCTCATTATAGAACCATTAAGAAGCATGTATTTGTAACTTGTTACATAAAATTTGATTATTATTATTATTATTATTTTTTTTTTCACAAAAATAAAATGCTAACAACACATGACTATAAATCCATATCTATTCAACAATAGTAAACGAACAATTCATTTCATGCATGGTTGCGTGCTTTAAAATTGTAGTCGGCCGACTTTCCTTTACTTGATTTTTAATTTTTTTTTTGTAGACCAGGAAAAGAATTAAAAGCAATATCAATAACAGAAAGTCGAAAATGCACTTCTTCACTTAGATAAACCAATAAAGTTTCTATTATTTGATTTCTTGTAATAATAAACAACGAAGCTTAATAGGTCATTTATTCATAAGCAAATAATACGTTTAAATAAATTACCCCGTTTGTCATAGTTAGAAATAATTAAATTACCCCCTTTTTTTGGTAAGGTATGAATTACTTTTGAAATAAAAATTAAATTATTAAAAAAAAGCAAGTTGGGATTAAAAGTGACTTTTACGTTATCTAAGCTTAGCCAAACAAGCTAAGTTATGTACACATTTTATCAAAAGAATTTAGACGGTGTTGATTTGAAATCGGCTGAAAAATAAACCCATGGAAGTTGCATGAATCCACCAAAAAAAATACTATGCAATCAACAAGCAAATCAATAAATAAAATAAAAATAAATAAATAAACATTGAAAAAATAATTTTCCATCACATGACCAGATTTTTGAAATTCACAATTCTATAACTCACCAATTTTATTTCTATGGGACCAGTAACATGGCACATGGCTGTCACATTTTTTTTTATTCTATTTATTATTATCTTTTTTTTTTAAAGAACACTTATCTGTTCACGGTGAACAGTCACTGTTCACCTTGAACAGTGACTATTACCACTGTTCACGTAAATTTATTTTTATTAATTTTTTTGGATGGGACTACCAAATTTTGCATATAATTTCACTAACGAAAAATTCACATAACAGTTAAAGAATATAAATTTTTTTTCACTCAGTCTGCAAAAAGCTATGCCTAAGCTCTGATACAAAGCTATAATGCCCCATTTTTTTTCATTTTTTTAAAAAAAAAGGGAGTGTTAACAAGTTTCTTATTTTTGAAGAAATAAAATTTACTTTTGGAGCTTTAAAGAAAATTTGATAAATCGACTCTATGAATTAAAAAGAGTAACCAACTAACATTTAAATTTAATTAAAATCATTCAACATCAATTTAAATGAAATACACCTACATGAATGTCAAAGCTGCAAAATAAATATACATATACTAAACATGAACATGTCAAATAAAAGTTTAGTCATGAATATACTAAAAATCATTTTTTTTTTTGTTTACTTGGCAACCCAGAAGCATCCACTCATCCAATCTTTCACGTGTCCAGCACGACCTGCTCTAATCTAATTTTTTTTGTAAGAGAGAGTATTTTAAACAAAATACTTAGTAAGATACGTGCAAATTTCTATTCAACATAACATAAATATAAATGAAAAACATTCATACCCGACATTCATATGGTTCAAGGAATTTCTTTAGAATTCTCACATCTCGTAGGATTTAACATAATTGGACCTAACGGTCCATTCCGAAGGATTTAACATAAAAAAATCATTTCTTGGAACCTTAAAGCATTGAATGAAATCATAATATAGATATCGTGGTGAATAAATTTTTTTCACTGCACTTATGTATCTTACCTTAAAAATCTGAATTTGTTAAAAACTTTGAAAATGGATTCTTCTGTTTCCCTTGACTTGAAGAATAGCAAAGTATATGGAATTTATAACTTTGTATGTATGAATAACCGAGTGTGTGAGTTAATAAATATGCTTGGTGGGTGGGTAAAAAAAAATGGCCAATTATTTGAAAAAAAAAAAAACCACCACTTGATCTCATAACTTACACACATATACCACTAATAAAAATCAAAGCAAACAAAATGATAAGATTGGTTATTTCTTTACCACGTGAAATCTCACACACGCCAACCAATCAATGCAAAGGAACATAATAATTAATATTATATTAAATGGTTACATAAATTTCGTTTCGACCACAATAACTTGATAAAATGCGTTCAAAATAAATTTCTCTTAAACCCGATTTACGTAATTTAACACGATCTACAAGATGAGACCCATATTCATATATTTTTGTTAATATCTCCTATACCCAATTATTGGGCCCACATAATATTTAGAAAAAAAATAAGAAAAATGCATAATTAGAAAATAATTAATTTTTAAAAAATATATATACGTATATATTGTATTATCATTTTAATTAATGAACTTTATTATAATGACAATGTTAGGCATGGACCATTTAATTTGCTAATGATCAAAGTTGCATTACGTGGGAGGTAAATAAATTTTGGAATGTTACATTTCTAATATAGTACATCCGTGAAAACATAAATTTCTATATTTATTGAAAAGCCTAAAGTCATTGTAGTATCTAATATCTGAAAATATGATCTTTTTTTTTTCTTTGTGTGTGTGTGTGTGTTGGGGGGTTGGTGTATAATTTATGTTCTGTGATTTTCAGGGGTTGAAAAACAGTCATTGGATGGTATAAGAAGCGATAGAGGAAATGGTGACAGAGGTGAAGACAAGTACGACTATAGATAATTTTTTCTCATTTCGAAAAATAGAAAAATATTGTGCTTTTATTTATTTGGGTAATGAATATATATCTTGAGTCCTTTATTTTTACAAATGGTTAAAGCTGGGTAAATGAGGAATTATAGTCGAATCATAGCTCTATTGAATATTTTCTCTGAATTATGATGGTTGACTAGATTACTTAGTAGTAGTAAATATTTGACACAACAACAACAAACTAAACTTTTTTTTTGCATTTTTCTGTAAATTAGTGAATTTCTACGTGAATCTTTTTTCACCACTCTGTTTGATTTATTGCTAGATTTAGTAGGAGATATAAAATATTATATCCTTAGTAACTGCAAAAAGCTATGTTAGTTTTGGTCTACCTATTCCTCATTTTACCCGTTCTACCAAGATAGTGTCCCTATTGTGTAAGGGAATCTGTTTAGGAATATATATTTTTTAGTTTTTAATCTGATAACTCATGTCCATTGTCAAGCATTTCAAAACCTTATAATTGCCATCTTTTTCCATACAGATATATTAAACATGGATACCACATTTCATTGTAATTGGTATTTGGGTTTTGTATATAGTAAGTATTTTAGTAGCAAATTTTCAAGTACTTGGTATTTCCATTTTTTATCTAGTCCCATCGTCCAATGGAAATATATTATTGAATAAAAGATACCGTTTAGTTCAAAAAGTATGAAGGCGCCGATCATGGGTTTGCTTCTTGAAGGCGTTGATATTATTGAATAAAAGATACCGTTTCGTTCAAAAACATACAGACATCTTGGTTTTTTTTCCTTTTCTACACCCATGTCTCATATGTAGATTTTTTAAATCAAGAGAGGGTCTTTTCCTTCATATGAATAGTTCTTTTCCCATTTCAATTCCTTTCCATTCCTTCCAAGGAAAATATCAAAAAGTATCCTAAATCAACAAGTTAGTTTGAACTTTCAACGGGCCAGTGTGAACTTTCTTTATAAATTGCAGAGCTGACTCTTTAAAGTTCTGTTTCTTTGTGCTTTTCACATTGTTTGTTTTATGCTGATGTATCATTCTTTTGTAGAAACCTCGTTCTAGGGATTGAGGTGATCCTAAGACTATAGGGGTGAGATGAGAAAGAAATGAACAAGAATTCCATCGAGCAGGAACATGATGATGGTGTTCTACAAAGCATGTTCATGAAAAGAAGAAGCGTACGACAAGTAAAAAGGCAAATGATCTTCGGTTTGAAATAGAAGAACAAATGAAAGTTGTTGATACCAAAAGAAAAGAGAATAAAAAACATAGTGATCGTAATTCTATTCCTTCCCTCCCACTACCCTGAAAAGGAAAAAAAGATAGCTCTTTTTGCAGCTGAGGAAATATTTGAATTCCTGAACATACCAAGAAGCTTGAGAACAATATAAGTATTTTATTAGCTTCTTTTATTCTTTAAGATTTTGATGTTACTCGTAATTGCTTGTGAAAGTTAATATCATTCTCTGCATGATGTCTGCTACCCATGGTCCTATTAAAGCAACAACAACAAATACCACCAACCATTCCAAATATGATTCCCAATAGTTTAATCTTATGCTTCTTTTATAATCAAGTCTACAATGTTCTTAATGCTATAACAAAGAGTTCGAAAAGCCATATTTCTTGCATGTCGCTAATTAGAGCCACAAAGCAGTAGGAAAAAAAAGAAGCACATCTTTTTTCTTCAATACACTTCACTTTTTTATATGATATTTGTCGTTTTAGGGCCCGATATATCTTATATCATTTGTTTTCAGAATATCTTCTGTCTCTTTAGGTCAAGTCAATAGTTCTTTTTAATAATTGTAAGATATTTGATCCTTTTAGGGTTTGGACATATTGGGTGTTTAGTTCTTCGAATACCAACTTTCAAGGATAATATAGTTGTGGTAGCAGTCAGTGATCTTAATAATGATGCTAGGTACATGGTGAGTATTGCTTTGTGTGACCGATTGGTTATATATCTTCTTTTTTTTCTCACCTTTCAATAACTTAGGTGCCCCAAAGTGTTTTAGAAAATGGCAAAAATATGTACTCATCATTCTTTCAAGCTTACATGTTTAAGTATGACTCTATTCATGGACCCTGTAAGGGAACCATCAATGTTGTCGATGAGTTCACTTTGGAAATCAATGGAAAGAAAATTAAAATTAGCAGCAAAATGAATCACTAGAATTCCGTGTTAGAAGTTTGATCATTGTTCTTTACTAGCACACTGATTGACACTACGTATGTATTTGAGCCTTTAGTCTGCCTGTTCTAATTCAAAATCCCTTGTATAGAGACCCAATAGAGATTCCTTGGAGTGATTATGGGGTTGACTATGTAGTTGAATCTTCTGGTGTTTTTATTACTATTGACATGGTCTCAGTACATAAAAAAAGTATATTACAAAGTTGTTTCGTTTCTTATCTGATCTGGTATGAAAAATTGCCAAATTTAACACCATTGACCTTTTTCTCAAGGGTGGTGCAAAGCAGGTTGTAATATCAGCTCCATCGAAGTAAATGAAAACCAACTGATGAGTTTGTTTCGCTCATGAATTTTTCACAATTTTAGCTTGATTATTTGCTAGATCTTGTGAGTATAGAACATTTTTTTTTATGTATTTGTTAGTGTTGTTTTGAAAATTAGGAAAGGTGATGTTAAAAGAGAAATTAAAGCGGACGAAGAGATCAAAAATAAGAAAATTGGGGCAGAAAGACAACGTTTAGGCTCTGCATTCGTAGCGCCTAGGTGCTACGAAACTTAAAAAATGAAACTTGAACTCGAGAAACAGTGCCTAGGCGCTGCAATCATAGCACCCAGGCGCTATTATCAGCGCCTTGGCGCTGCGCTTAAATTGACGTGGCGCATAGGCACTGCGCCGGGGTCATCTAGGGCACGTTTTTGGGCCGTTTTGAAGTCCATAAAAAACCCTACTCTCTACACAAATGGAGGAGGCACCTATAAATACATTTTTCTCACACTTTTGAGGGGTTCTTCACACATTGGGAGATAAGACAACAAAAATGGAGTTCCAAAAGAGAATTTCAAGGAGAATAACACCAAACAATTGAAGATTTGAAGCATTGATTGGAAGGAGAAGAAGATCTTCGTGCAAGAATTTTACTTTTTCTTCTACATCTTTATTACAAATTCGGTGATGTATTCTACGACAATTTACTATATTTATTCTTGCATTATGAGTAGTTAAATTTATTGTTAGGAATGTAACCAATTGAGCTCCTTTACATTCTCTTATTAAGATTCTTAGTTTTTAATTTTTCCATGTGTTGATTTTGCTATGAGTTGAATGTATTAAATTATCTGATCAATAATTTGATGATTTTTGTGAATTCTTTACAAATAGAGATATGAGTTTAGGATTTAGACCATGTAGTAAAATTCAGTTCATTGGTATAATGAGTAGAGATATTTATACTATTTATTGCGGTCATAATTGAATTCATAGGACAAAGAACTTGTTTAACTAAGTTGAATTTGCATAGAGATATGGAATTTAATTAGTTGAATAGGTTCCATGAGAACTCGAGACGAGTAAATTGAATACAATAAGAGAATTCGATCGAACACTACATTAGAATTGTGTTTTAATTTGAGATGTAAAGTTGATCAATAAGTGAAGTTATTCTGCCATAATATCAATTCATTATTTGATTTTCCAACTAATCGTGTGAGCATTCATTTATTTTCTAAATTTTAGATTAAAACTCAAATCATACAACTTTTAATTTATTTTCATCAAATAGTAGTTAAAGAAAAAAATTGAATTAAGTGCTAGAAAATAGTCATTCTGGGATCGACAATCTAAACTCTTAGGTTCACTATTACTTGTTACTGTTCGTACACTTGCGAAACTAAAATACACAACACCTACAAGCCAAGTATGGTTAGAAATTTTTCCAATGCTAACTGTACCACCAATTGCCTTTTGCTTTGGCCAAGATTGAATTGCATTCTCTAATTTCAAGGATCACAGTTAATTTTACTTATCAAATAGACAAAGGAGTCCTTTAAGATTATCTTTTTCTTATAGGTGCGTGCTGTTCTTCAAGGGATTCTTTTAAATGATTTAATCTTTTTTCTTTTTAAAGCCAGTGTAGGAAGATTACTATATTTGTTAAGCATGTTTTTCGTTATTTTTCTTTGCAGGTGGTTCCCAAGGAGTTTGGTATCTTAGACGGTTTGATGATGACTGTCCGTGCAACAACAGGTATGTGTTGTGTGCCCACAACTACACACAGTGCACTTCCAAAATAGTTTAGATTTTTCCCTTAGCTTGTCATTGTTCTTATGCTTATCCCGTAAATCTTCTTCTTGATTCCGTAAATCTTCTTCTTGATAAATGTTCTTCAGTGACACAAAAGACACTTGATAGTCCATAGATGAAGGACTCTAGAGGGGTGTTGTGGGACTGGCCAAAACATCATTCCCAGTTCTACTGGTACGACAAAGGTATGCAGTAGTCTCCATTTGAAAAATTTATTAATCTACAAATATTTATGTAATATCTGGTGATAGTTGTTGACTCAACTCATAGGCTGCTGGAAAAGTACTTCCAGAATTCAACGACAAGCTTACTAGAATGGTTTTCCATGTCCCATCCCCTAATGTCTCTGTTGTAGACCTAACTTGTCGACTTGAGAAGAGTGCTTCGTTTTTACAAAGGAAGTACAGTTCAAAGATATGCTCTTCACTTTACAGGTTAGAGTAAAACTCATTTTCTTGGTGCAGTAATATCATTTGTAGATGATATTTTGTGATTGTTGACGGACTCTCAACTGTTGCATATTGGATTCGTATAGCAGTTTCAATTTCGAACTATTCTTTTTGAAATTTTTCTTAAGTTTCTATTAGTACTTAAATCCACTAAAAGCCCATTTATGGTAGTTCAAAAGTTTCATTATGAAGTTATTAATTGAGTACCAATTCAATGACATAACTATTTTTTTGCTTTTTATAAAATGGAAGAAGTTTATGAATAGGTCAAAAAAAAAAAAAATGATAAAAAGAGCATTTGTTTCTAATGTAATGATGTGAATGATGGAAACAAGGTTGGGCATTTTCTTTTCCTTTTTTGATTGCAAGAAATATTCATCCGGGTGTCATTCTTGTTGACTCGTTCCTTTTATCAAACCATTTTTTTGAATGCTTATTCATCTTAACCATCACCTAAACATTATTTACTTTCTAATTACACTTCATTAAGTTTATTCTAATGCTATATACTATTTTATATGAACTTTATTACCATGTCATTTAATCTTTTGTATAGTTTCTATGACTGCTCAAAAAAGTAAATCTGACATTTGTTCTCATTCTTCGTTGAAATTTTAGGACATATGTATCATAGTTCTGATTATTCCCATCATTATAATCCTACAAAACATCTCATCTCGTCTTCATAGCATCAATAAAATGGAAATGTCTAAGGGACTTGCTCTTTTAAATATCTAATATTGAATTATGAATGACGTCTTTCACTTTATGTGCAGATAAAACTTTACTCTATGGGAAGCAAGGCATCAAATTTACCCGATGATGTGAAAAAAAATTGTGGCGAACTTAGGATACTGCAAGAAATTAAGAGATTATTCATGATTGTTGAAACTCGAGTAAGACTAGGTCGCACTTTAAGTTTTTTACTTATCTCATGTTGTAACTTTTATGTCAAAGCCATATTAATTTCTCTGTTCATAATTCAATTTACCGAAATGAAATATATTATACATGCATGTTTTTATTCTAGATGACAATCATACAAGAAATATTCACTTTTAAGAGCTTTCTTCATGTACTACTGAATCCTAGATCAACTTCCAATTATATGTATAAAAACTACAAAATTTGTAGTTGAAAAGACCTTCTCACAGACTCGCAGTACCTTAACAAACCATGTCATTAGCATTTAAATATGATTTCTGTGCCATTTGTCAATTCATTATCCTTAATATCAACTAACATAATTGATACTCCTGATTTATTCTTCATTTTGCCACTCTTGTTTTACTCGTTACAGTTCTCACGCATTTTCATAAAATCAATTCTCCTTATTAAGAAGAAGCATCAAATGCCCAAGAGAACTAAAAGAAAAAAAAAGTAATTTCTTTTGCATTACTTATTTTCTTAATTATTTTTTTAACCTGTGAAAGAAGAAGTTCGATTGTTTGCGGAACATCATCTTGCTCTCTCCATCTTATTGTTTTAACTTTGGCACTCACATACTCTTCAGGCTATATATTAAATGCCACATCTAAATACATAGTGAACTTTGCATGAGAATTCTTCAACTTCTTTATTAGCCTCAAGAAAAACAAGAAGTTCGATTGGTAAACCGAATCACTACAAGATTGGGATTCTATTTTTTAGAGTCTACTAGGAAATGCAATGGATGTACTGCAACGGACAGTGTTGGATCATGTTTGATGATGATGGATTCATTTCAAGGCATACAAATATGAAGTATGGGCTTAGAGATAATTTTGGTGTAGGTGAGCTTTATATATTAATTATATTAAACATTAAAAAGGTTTAAAATAAAATAAAATAAAATTTTGGTGGTTATGAACTCTTAGCTCGTGAGCTCTAATGAATAATGAAGTGCTCATTTGCAGTTGACATTTTTTACACTGAAAAGTTCTCATTTTTAGTGTTTGGTTTGTATAGTTTTGTTTATCTTAAAATTATGAATTCAAGATGTGCCTGTGTTCAAAATGCACATCTTCAATGCAGGCTGAAGAAGTAGATACCCCAATTTCAGAACAAACTCACGTGATTGGTCCACAAGAAGCCCATATTCAGGAATGTGCACACTTATTGTCAGAGGAATATAAAGAACATGTTTTTTTTCCATGTTGCACAAAACTCTGCTAGCAAAGTAATTAATCAAATACAATTGAACATATTACACACATTTCTTTTAAGATATACACCACCATCTACCAAATAATCTATATTGAATCAATGGATATATCTTTCATTACTATTTAACATTGAACACGTTAACATTACCTTAAAAAATAATACAACCCATGCATCGTACGGGCAAAAAACTAGTTTATAAAAAAAAAAAAGTGACATCGTGTCACTTTAAAGTCACTGTTTATAGTGATACTTAATTTTATACAATATTTTTTGCTTTCAAAAAGCTTTACATATGATTTTTCAAAAAACCTTTACTTTTAATGATATTTTTGTAAGTATCCCTTAAATAAATGGGAACAATATATGACTCTATTATAAAGTGAAGAAAAGAGAAGAGAATAGAGAGAAGTCAATAAATTTGTGTGTGTTTTATTAAAGGCCAAAGCCTTGTATTTATAAGACAGAATCAGGGATACAACAATAATTATCTCTAGGGCTGTAGGGGTATAATTGTCATTCACTCTAAACCCTAATAAACTTTTCTTTTATAACACTCCCTATTGAATAACACATTACAAAATATTTGTCTCATTAAAAACCTTGTTTGATAAAAACTCAATGAGAAAAAAATCAAAACGAAGGAAAAAGAGTATAGTTATTTTGGAGTACTAAAAATAAATGCCGCCTCATTAAAACTTTGTTAGGAAAACCCAGTGGGATAAAATTTAAGTGAAGGAAAAAGAGTACAACTACTCTCCATGATGTTGTTCACTGAAAATCTTTGAGTCGACGCATTCCAATCTCATGAACTAATTTCTTGAATGTAGAGGTTGGCAATGCTTTTGTGAATAAATCGATCATATTGTCACTTGAGCGAATTTGTTAGATATCGATGTCGCCATTTTTTTGAAGCTCGTGTACATGAAAGAATTTTGGAGAAATATGCTTCGTCCTATCACCTTTGATATAGCCTCCTCTAAGTGGTGCAATACAAGTTGCATTGTTTTCATACATAATTGTTGGACTATACTTTGTTGAAGTTAATCCGCATGATACTTGGGTATGATGGGTCATGTTTCTCAACCATACACATTCTCGGCCTGCTTCATGGATTGTAATAATTTCAGAATGATTTGAAGATGTTACTTTCAAGAATTGCTTCACAGATCTTCATGATATAGCTGTTCCTCCCCGTGTAAACACATAACTTGTTTGTAATTTAGTTTTATGTAGGTCAGATAGATAACCTTCATTTGCATAGCCCATTAAAACGGATCCTGAATTTTGAGAATAAAATAATTCCAAATCAATAGTACCCTTTAGGTAACGAAAATATGTTTAACATCATTCCAATGTCTTTGAGTTGGTGTAGAACTATATTTTGCAAGGAGATTTACAGAAAAAGCTATGTTGGGTCGAGTGTAATTTACAAGATAAGTTAATACTCCAATTGCATTAAGATATTGTACTTCAGGACCAAGAATATTTTCCCCATCTTCAAGTGGACGAAATGGATCATTTTTTAAATCAAGTGATCAAACAACCATAGGTGATGCCAATGGATGTGCATTATTCATTTAAAAACGTTTTAAAACTTTTTCTGAATACGTAGATTGGTGAACAAATAATCTATCTACGAAATATCCAATCTATGATCTAAGACAAAATTTGATTTTTCCCAAATCCTTCATTTCAAATTCATTTTTCAAATAATCAGTAGTTTTCTTGAGCTTTTCAGGAGTTTCAATTAAATTTAAATCATCAACATAAACTGCCACAATTGCAAATCCATTATTTGTTTTCTCTATGAAAACACATGCACAGATATCGTCATTTTTATAACCTTCATTCAAAAAATATTCGCTAAGACGATTATACCACATGCGTCCGAATTGTTTAATCCATATAATGATCTTTGCAATTTAATTGAGAACATGCTTCTGGGGCATGTATCATTTGTTCTTAACACCTTAAGTCCTTCAGGAACTTTCATAAATATGTTACTATCAAGTGAACTATACAAATATGCAGTTACTACATCCATAAGGCGCATATCAAACTTTTGTGACACAGTCAAACTAATTAAGAGTGTAAAAGTGATGGTGTCCATTACGGGATAATATGTTTCCTCGTAATCAATTCCTGATCTTTGTGAGAAACCTTGAGCTATTAGTCGGGCTTTGTACCTTGTAATTTCATTATTTTCACCCCTCTTTCATACAAAAGCCCATTTGTATCCAATAGAGATTACATTTTTAGGTGTTAGAACTACGGGTCCAAATACTTTTCGTTTCTCCAAAGAATTCAATTCCGCCTGTATGACCTCTTTCCATTTTGACCAATCATTTCTATTTTGATAGTCTTTAACCGACTGTAGTTTAAGATCCTCATTTTGCATAATATCAAAAATCCCATTAAAGACGAAAATATTGTCTATAACAACATTATTTCTTTCTCATAATTTATGAGATAACATATAATTTATTGAAATTTCATTATTTTTGGACACTTGTAATTTTTCAGGAACTGTATTTTCAATATATGATTGATCAATCTTTTCTAATCTGATTTCTTTCGAAGTTTTTAGTTGGTTTTTCTCATGTACTTTTCTTTTTCGAGGTACAGAGTTTTTTGAACCAAATGGTCGACTATGCTTCTGGCGTATTTGAGATTCATTTGCTACAATAGATTGTCCTGTAGGGATATCAATTTTTACTGGAATATTTTCTACCGGAACATATGACTTTGTCACTTTTCTTGTGTCAACAAATACATCAGGTAATTGATTTCCAACTCTTTGCAGATGAATAATTTTTTCAACCTCTTGCTCACATTGATTGTTGTGGGGAT